ATCCTCAGGCTATTTGGTAGAGGACCATACCAATTAGGTATAGCGCGGTTCGTTGCCTCAGGCACTACCACGATGGCCTGAGCTTGCTGAGGTAAGCTATTTGTTCGAGGAGTGCATGTGACTTACCGATTAGGTATAGTCCCACTCCGGTGCCTTGGCACGACCACAAATAGCCTGAGCTTGCTGAGGTAACTTCTCAGACGGTACACAAGACAGTTGCACTCACGTGAGTAAATTTTACGCTAAACATGGGTCTAATCCGGTTCTGGTTTAGTTAAACCAGGGTCATGGCTTGGGTAACGTCTGAGCCCAAGCTGAGATAACCATGAAACACAGATATTCTGTGACATTAATTATGGTCCCAGGCCTGTGGCCTGGGCCTTTGGGTGTGGCTGATTGCCACAGAGGATGTGGCTGGTGGATTGTATAGGAGGATATCAGAAAAGCAAACATGGTGACACAGCATTAGGGCAGCAGGAGGGAGAGTCGCTACTTCGCGCACAAAGGCGCCGGGAGATTTCTACTTCTCTCTCTCTTTAGTTTAGATTAGCTACGGTAATGGAACTTGATAATCGCAGACCTTGCGCATCCAGACCCTGTCACAGGGAGAATGTTGAAAAGGAGGCTAAATTATTCCAGAAAGTCCTACTAAAAGTGCTTGAAAATTATGGAAATAATAACTTCTTTGCCTAATTAGCCTCTTATATATTCTAGACTTAAATTAATGCCTTTGCAGTGCCTCTGTGTGGAGATGTAGGAGGGGGTGCATCTCTGTACCTAATTAGGAAATTCACGTGCTACACACAATTTTGGGAAGCTTGATTGTTTACAAAAGGGTCCCTAGCGGTTAGGATTTACGATCTACTCACCAACTTCCTTGGTGTCCATTCCCCCAGATGTTTTTTTACAGGTTGCACGAATTAATTCTTCGTTAAGATCTGACTTTTCAAATCAACTTCCAGCTCGGCAGCTCTCTCTCTACAGTCTGATGCCAACGGATATTCATTATGGCAGGAAACCTTCGAGAGGAGGGCAATGCCTTGTACAAGCAAAGAAAGTTCCTAGATGGTATTCTTCTGGTCTTTTGCTCTCGAAAAATATTGATCCCCATTCTAATTACCACCACAGCTCTTCCACTCTACTATCAAGCTGCAAATACGGACCCAGAAGACTACCGCCCTTACCTCAACCTCAGTGCTGTCCTCTTTGAGCTCGGGAAGTACAAGCAGTCCGTCGAATATGGCCAGAAAGCACTCTCTACGATGAACGATGAAGTTCGCCAAGGGGTTTCTGGAGAACGTGTCTCCGCTCGCATTGCCAAAGCTCGTGTGGTGCTAAAAGACGCCGATAATTTCTCTACGACCGGCGAATCTAAGGGTCTCGATCCAAGACACCTTCCGCGCTACAAACCGACTATGTAAGTCTCAGTCACAGCTCAGCACAATATGCTAATCATTTACTCCCAGAGGTCGGCACTTGGAATTTTTTTCCGTGGGCCATGACACTCCAATGAGTCTTCTCACTGAAGATATGTGCGAAGAATGCCCCGATGACGATCGCCTCGCATTCTTTTTTGGCGGTATTGGAGACGCCAGGCACTTTTACTACACGTTAACATTCTTTGCCGCATCGGAATATAGGAGAAAGACCACACGAAAAATACACTTCACTCTCAACGACATTCTTCCGGACGTCTTTGCTCGAGATCTGGTCTTCTTCATCCTTCTGGACGAACTCTCCTATGAAACCCAGAAAGCTCCTACAGACAAAGCTACACAGCTAGAATTGGACAAGAAAGTAGCTACGCTGTTTTACCTCTATCTCTGCCCGCTAGTTCCGACCTATGTCAACGATGAGCTTCAGCGAGTCATTCGCAAAACCATGTCGATGCTTGAAGGTCGAGGTCAAGAAAGGCTCCCTTCATGGATCTACTTCGCGCCAGTCACATGCAACACTATTATTCCACTCTTAAGATCATGGCAGTCCGATGTATTTGCTCTGCATTCAACTCGCGAGATCCAAACGAAGGCCAAGCTCGAGTCACAGAAATCTCGAATCAATATCGCGTCGCTTGTCGATCAGATGGGGATGGTTGGGTTACATGACCAACAAGAGACCAACGAAGAGAAAGACTACTTTGCAACTATCATGGTCTCTCCACCGCCGAGACTTATCAATGCATTTGAGCAGGATCTAGGCAAGCTACTCGATTTGCCTCGCACGGAGTCGAGGCTCAATAAAATTGAGCAGTACATTGGCAAGAACTGGAAAGTCAACGCGACCATGTTTAACGTTGCCAGCGAGAAGGCTGGATATTTCAGTGATTGTGGAAATAATCCGTTTGAATTCGGAAAAGCTGTCAGCCTAGCAGTTGGTACTGAACATGGCCCAAAGCAGACTTCGGGATTATATGCTACCGGCTACTTGTTCTTCAGCTCAGTTGCCACGGCGCTGGCTGAATCAAGAGACCGCATTTTCGTTGAAACGCAACTTGGCGATGCAACGAAGTTGCTGGAGGATACGCGCATCGGGCTCGTACAGAACCGGGACTCGACATGGCCTATTCAGTACGATCATGTGCACTTAAGCAACGTCCCGTAAGTGCAGCCTCTGTAGTCACACCTGGTCAGAATTTTGTCTAACTTCACTAGCGACTATGTCGGTGGCCCTGTCGCATCATTTTTGTACGGTATTCCGATACTCAAGTCAAAGAGTTATGCCAGGTACTCCTCGACATGCCTTCGGAATCCTTCCCATTTTCCGACGGTCGACCATTTCATAAGCGAATACCTTTGTCTTCAAGATTCGGAAACGACCAGAAAGATATTCCCCTACAAAGAACCATTTCTCGAGGGTCCAGAGGGTCCAGAAGATCCAGCGGATATCCCAGACCTTTTCTCTCAATCCGGTTACTGGAGTTGGTCCCGCATCCGTGACCCACCTCTGAACTTCACAGAACTTCTCAGCCGCAACGAAACCGAAACTTGGCTATATCAGCTTTCCCTCAAAACCATTCTCCCCGTTCCTCGCGAGCGCTACAGCTTCTCCCAAATCTTCTCGCCGCTAAACCTAACCATCATCTTCCGCGTCGCCATCTACCTGCACCAGACGGGTTACCCGGCCCATTGGCTCGCCGACGCCTTGGAAAACCTTCTCGCCAACACCGTCACCACCACCGCACGCCCAGCGCGCCGGAGCCCCCTCCGACCCACCGATCTTCGCAAGCCGGTCCCTGCTAAGCGTCTTACCTTTGCGCCGTTCCTAGCCGAGTTCCGCAGTCTGGCAGCGCAATGGGCTCCGGTGCTCCCGTTCGGCATTAGCAGCACACACATTCCCACGCGTGTCCGTCGCTACACACTGAACGTGTTCCCGCTCAACTCCGAGGATAAGGATGGCCACGGCCGCGTGCCCGCATTTGTATTGGTTTTCTGGAACCCTGCCCGGTTGGGCCCCGGCCGGATGATCTGGAGCATGGATTTGCGGAAGGTGCTGTTGCCGGACGAGAAGGGCTCCACGGACCCGAGAGACGTGAGACTGCGGGAGAACGGCCTTGCGATCCTTGCCGTGTGGGAGTTTGACCCGGCTAACGACGAGGCGCATTTCTGGATCGATGAGGATGCGATGGAAAAGTGGAAGCGGGAGGACTGGATGGTGCAGATTTGGAGGGATGATACGTATAGGCCGGTTTCGACGCCGCTTCCTGTGAGGCAAGTCCCTAGAGGGTCAGCGATAGAGGGATTCATGACTTCTTTCCCTACCAATGGGCTTACCGAAGGGGAGTACTGGTCCATTTGACGTTAGGGTGAGAGTTTTGACGACTGTTTTTCTGGAAGCCTTGTGTTATCGCGTTAGCGATTGTTTTATTCACTGCTTGATCAGTGGTGTCGAGTAAGATCAGGTGCCGGATTCTCTATACTTCTTCCTTGATTTTACGGACGTTATCATTGTCTAGACCCTGGCTGTCGTACAATGAGAGTAGCTACTTCTCGCTATCAAAACATCCGAAACATGCTCCCAGCAGCAAGTACTCATCTTAAGACTAGTCATACGGATTATCGGCTCCAGATTGCCTTCGACGACACGGTCAAGCGGAGGGCAGTGGCCGATCTACCTACCAATGCGAATACGGCTCGCGAGCGAAAGCGTCTGATTGATTGATTTTGTCGCATTTCGCGGGGGTGATGATTAAGCACGATCGCTGCTTAAGCTCAGTTACTGTAGTCACAACGCAAATTGGTATTGACGATTCCCATTGTCTAGCTAAGGGATCTAGCTAGTAAACCAGATGAAGGTAACTTAAATACATAGGAGAAGACTGAGGAGTCCTGATTAGGCCTAGCCCAGGGGTAGAGGGCAGCGAAAGGAATGTTAGGTAGCAGTACAAACCAACAGGGGCATCTTGCGACATCTGGTTCCCTGTACGTATCCTCCTTTCAAGCGCCTGTAATAAGAGTCTTTTATGCTCTTTAAGCGGCTGCTGGCTTTCTCAGGCGTAGCCTCACTAAAGGTATAACCAGGTATCGTCCGGCTCGCGGTGTAGGACGTCGCGAACGTATAGAGAGGATGTGAGTGTAGGCCATAGGCATGATAAGTCCAGGTGTTCCGTACTCCTTGAAGAGCCACATGGCGTAGCCGCGCTTGTAGATAGTTCTGTCCGACAATGGAACCGTATCATCGAGGGGCTTGCTCTAGAAGCTACCTAGAAGCTCCTTTGCCTCTTGTTCTCCGGCTTCGCCCTTTCTAATAGTGCGTTGTGGCGCCATAGTCAAAGACGTTTCTTGGAATAGACGTAGATAACTTTGGCTGCTTGGAGCGTTGATAGCGTCGACTACCTCTGGAACTGAAGGAGAGTACTGTAGAACTGTGAACAGGACTTCTGACTGGGAGCGAGACTGGAAATCTAGGGAGAAAAGGTATCTTTGCGATCCTTACTAGTCTGTATTTTCGACGGTCCCTCGTCTTTCGGCGGTATTGACCCTCTATTTTCGACCTCCTTTCCACCGCTAGAAGACCATAGGGGAACTCCTATTGCTGTATATTTTTATTTTTTTATGACCATTGTGTCAAATTTTTTAGTGGGCGGCATGGATCTATGGTCGTTTATGGTGTGAAAAGCTTCAATTATTAGTACATACGGCCACATCAACCTGAACAAAATGAGGACGACGGAGCAAGTCCATCTATTTTGTAAGGGCAAGACCCTCCAGGACTCCACAGAGCGACTCCGCTCCAGCCCATCCACGGCAGCTCTCCAACGCGAATTTTATATGATGTTCCATGATTTGGAGCATCCGCCCCTCATCCATTCGTCCAGTTTGTTCTCCCACTCTGTTGCGGGTGTTGGGTCGTGGGTGGTCCGCCTGCTGGAGACGCGTCGGGGACGCGTCTTTGGCCTGTGGGCCCTTCCCCCTCGTGCGCCCTTCAACCATGATAGTTGAGAAGGCTGCAATAGTTGATTATAGGTGAATGAAGTGTGTAGAATCGATTACGACCCTAATCTCAGCGAATTTCCAAGTTGTGGGCTGTCTGCAGAAAAATGTTCTTATCCTTCAGATAGGAATTATGGTTCCCGTGTAGCACCGTCCCATAATTTTATTTAGAAAAGACATAAAACGAATCAATCTAAGAAATAAAATCCCGTTATTATGCTAGAGAGCCTTTATTCAAGACATGCGTCGAGTTGGAGGCGATCTTAAATATTTCTATCACGCAGGTCGGTACTTACAGCCGATCAAACTTCCCCTTTCGGCGATCTATATAGTTACGGGAATATGGCATAAATAACTTATCGTTATCGTAAACTATCGCTGTTAAGCCAGACTGTCTAATTCTCTACCGAACCTTGGCAGACTCACGCTCTTAGGTATCGCGGAGTGTCCATGTGGGAAGGAAACCAGCGTGACAAGTACGTTGGATACTTAGATAGACTACTAATTAACTTAGACATGAATTTGAACTACCATCCACATGTCCGTGCTTTTCGATGACCTCTATCTGAGACGATCCTAAACGGACGTCAGCTATGTGCATCCTCGACTTCTCGATATAACATGCCAACTACAGTGATGTTAGACATGCACAAGAGGACGGAGGAGAGGCGTTACAGATTGTCAGCATCACTAAGCCACAATTCTGTAGATATCAACTAGTCTTAGTGTCGCTCAGCCTTGCGTAACCGAAACCTCCGCAGCCTTGTCCCTGATGACATTGTTCATCGCCGTCCGTCTTGATGTGACTACGATCCAGCTAATATGTCATTCGAATTTCCCAGACCAGCCGTCACGATTCCTCGATAACGACAATCTATCGATTATTGCGACCAACGATGCGCCTCTTAAAGCTTAACGGCAACGGCGGCTTCATCCTGGAGACCTTCAGAACCACGATCCCTCCGTATGCCATACTTTCTCACACATGGGGAAGCGACAGCGATGAAGTCACATTCAAGGACGTCGCGGATGGTGCTGGGAAGAATAAGGCGGGGTACCAGAAGCTGGTATTCTGCGGAGATCAAGCCAAATCCGACGATCTATCGTATTTCTGGGTGGATACATGCTGCATCGATAAGTCAGATCACCACGAACTTACAGAGGCGATCAACTCCATGTTTCGGTGGTACCAGAATGCGGCGCGATGCTACGTCTATCTTTCAGACGTCTCGGTACGCACGCAGGATGGCCTGGTTTCTCATATCGAATGGCAGTCCTCTTTTCGTAACAGTCGATGGTTCATACGAGGATGGACACTCCAAGAGCTTCTCGCGCCGGGAATAGTCGAATTCTACTCCCGAGATCACGTCCGACTAGGCGATAGAAGGTCACTAGAACGGAATATCTGCGACAGAACAGGAATCGCCATAGCGGCACTCCAAGGCCGTCCTCTCCATGACTTCAGCGTCGAGGAGAGGTTTCGATGGGTAGAGAAGCGACAAACCACCAAGGAAGAGGATATAGCATACTGTCTTCTTGGAATTTTTAACGTTTTCTTGCCGCTTATCTATGGCGAAGGGCGAGAGCATGCAATGAGAAGACTGCGACGAGAGATCGAGGACTCTAAGCATAATAGCTCGCGACCATGTGAGATCTTTATTTTCGAGTGTGCGTATCCATTTGCTAATGTGCTCCATTTTATAGCCCGAAAGTTAGCACGTACCATCCCGTTCGAACGTAATCTTCGCTTCACCGGTCGCGAATCCGAGCTTTCTCAAATTGAAAAGCTACTCTTCCGGCATGACCAAACCACAAAGGTCGCAATCACTGGACTTGGAGGCGTAGGAAAGACGCAATTAGCGATCGAGACAGTCTATCGGATCATGGAGAAATGGAGTAATTACTCAGTATTCTGGATTCCCGCGACAGATTCCGAAACTCTTCTTCAGGCGTACTCGACAATCGCCCAAGAGTTGGATATACCCGGAAGAAATGAGCAAGGAGTAGACGTGAAGCGTCTCGTTCAGAATTACCTCAGTAACGAAGACGCAGGCCAGTGGCTCGTGGTGTTTGACAACGCCGACGACATAGATATGTGGATGGGAAAATCAGCTGAGAGAAAATCTATCGGTCTCCTCGACTACCTTCCAAAGAGCAGGCAAGGGAATATCCTCTTTACTACGCGGGATAGGAAAATTGCTACTAAGCTGACGTTTCAGAACGTAGTAGAAGTGCAGGAAATGAACTCAGAGGTGGCTTCGGAGCTATTACAGAAATGCTTAATCGGACACGATGTAGCGGCCTGCCAAACCGATACGGAAACCTTACTCTTACAACTGACTTACCTCCCGCTCGCGATTATCCAAGCAGTAGGGTATATCAATGCAAACGGCATCTCGATCGCGGACTATCTTTCCTTACTTAACGAGCAGGATGAGTCTATAATTGAGCTTCTTAGCGAAGACTTTGAAGACGAAGGCAGATACCGCAATATCAAGAACCCGGTAGCTATAACATGGCTGATATCGTTCGAGCGAATTCAGCAGCACGATTCTTTAGCAGCAGACTATTTATCTTTTATGGCATGTATTGAGCCAAAAGATATCCCACAGAGTCTTTTTCCACCTGGCCCATCTCGCAAGAAGGAGATAGACGCTCTCGGGACGCTTCACGCATATTCGTTTATTAGTAAACGTCCAGCAGATCTCACAGTCGATCTTCATCGGTTAGTGCATATAGCTACTCGGAACTGGCTTCAAGAGAACGGCCACTTGGCCCAGTGGACAGAGAAAGCAGTGGGGCGGCTAGAGGAAGTCTTTCCTAGCAATACGCACACTAACAGGAGTATATGGAGGGCATACCTGCCGCACGTGCGCGTTGTACTACAATCTGACCTCGTCCAGAAGGAGTCGAAGAAGAGGATAGATCTCCAATGGAGATATGGAACGTGTCTCGACGCCGACGGACGATGGAGTGAGGCAGAGGTCGTTTATTCCCAGATTTACGAGATAGAAGAGAAAGTGCTTGGCACAGAGCACCCAGACACGCTGACCAGCATGGCCAATCTGGCGTCGACTTATAGGAATCAAGGCCGGTGGGATGCAGCGGAAGAGCTGGAGGTGCAAGTGATGG